AGAGACTACACAACCTCACTCGAAAACGACTTCCCAGATGCTTAACCATCCTCCGAAGGGAAAAACTTTTGCTTATCTCCTCCATGAATAAGTCGTCTTTCAATTTATGCACATTAACACTTATCCTCCCACCATGCATCAGAATGAAGAGCCTGCTTCCATCTTCTTGATGACCTCCTTGCAGCAATGGAAGGCCCTCCAAATGAAGTCCCTCCAAAATCACCTCTTCTGCAGGTTGAACAAGCCCCATATCGTCACAGTCAAAGTACTCCTGCTCCCCAGTTATCTTGAAGGCCCTCTGACATTTTCTACCAGTTACAAACCTTTTATTTCTCGCAAGGAACCAAACTGGATGCAATATTCTAGACGTGGTCTAGGGAATACTGATGAGAGCAGGATCAGCATTTCCCTCCAGCTCCAGGTTCTGCTCCTGCTCATCCAGGCCTGGATGCTTTTGGCCTTCTTTGCTGCCAGCAAAAGATGCTGGCCCACATTTTGCCTTCTGTCCACCCCTTTTCTGCAGATCTGTAACTCAGACACTCAGATCCCATCTCGTTACAAGGCCCTAGCTTGAAACAGAGCAACTGTGGCGTGTTGTTCTGTTTCCGGAACAAGACCTGGCCTTTTTCCTTGGTGAGCTTTTTTCTCCTGCCTGTCCAGGTGCCTCTGAAAGGCAGCCCTCAAGCATACGCCTGGTCTCTCCCTTGCAGTATCAGGTCATCTGCAAATATGGCAAGTGTTGCCTCCTGTGTGTCACCGATAGAGATGTTAAAAGGGTCAGGTTCCTGAAGTGATCACAGTTGCTCCATTTCTGTCTGGCCTCCCAAAGAGGGCTTTCCCTTCATCACTGCCCTCCAAGCCTGACCATCCAAGCAGCTTTCCATGCATCAGTTTGCCTAACCCTCTAGATTGTAAATCCCTATGTTGCATGCAAAGATATGGGGGAGGGGGGAACAATATGATGTCAGACACCTTGCTAAATTCCAGGTAAAAGATGTTTGATCTTCTCCATCTACAAATGCAGCTATTCATTCATAAAACACAACTAGGTTGGTGGGGCACAGTTTACCTTGGAAAAACTATGCGCAGTGTTCCCAGTCACCTTCCTCTCTTTAACGTGCCATGAAATGTGATGTGAGCGGATTCACTCCATTGTAAATTCCTCACCAAAGTGAGGCTGAACTGTCTGCAACTCCGCAGCAGCATGCTTAGCTGTAGGCGGGATGGACCTTGCCTAAAGACAATGGCAGAATTTAATTGTTTGGGCACATGCTGGTAACCTGGGGTACCCAAGGGCACTTGCCCAGCAACCACCCAAGAAGGGAAAGGCTTTCCCATACATCCCATGCTGTATCTGCTACATGCGTGTGGTTGTGCTGGACAATGCAGACATTGGACACTGCCCTGAGGACCTATTTTTATGTCACTGAATGAAATGTCTGAATTGCTTAAGCTATTTGCACTGTCGGGATCTGCCTGTGTCTTGGTTTTGCAGTGAGTGGAGCTGTAGTAGTAGCAGTAGGTCTCTAGAACAATTGCAGATGTCCAAGGAAAATCCCCAGCTGGCCCCTACATGATAAACATGATGAATCCTGGGAAAATGAGCTCTCTCCTTGCTCCTGTCTAGGGGTCCTGTGTAGTTTAGGGATGGGAATACGGGTTTCCAGAGTGGGACATAATTTCCAGTTCTTGTAAATAACCCTTTAACTAATTTCACTGACTAACACTGACTAATGTTGGCATAAGTTACTTTGCAGGTGAGTGGAGGCAGAGTCTCTGGCAGCAGAGAAATGCTACTGGGGTGCCTGGAGGATTCTTCTCAAGTCATCTCAGGTTTATAATTCAGAGAGGTGTCCTGTGCCCAGGGCATGGACTCAGCCACTTGCAAGGGTCAGTGCTCAGCCAGCCTGGGCATTTTCTCATGGAACAGCAGGGAGAGGCTCTGGGTGAAAGGATGAGGTTTTCTCCGACCTGCTCCTCAGGAGCTGCATGCACAGAAATGGCCCTGCCTAGTGCCCAGAGCCAGGGGGTTTCAGGAGAGCACAACTGAGCACACAGAAGATGGAAGGAGGTCATAACATCAAAGCATCTCTGTGAGTGCTGGCAGGGAAGAGATGTTGGGACAGAAGAACAGCTCCAGGCAGGGACTGCTCCAGGCATCACAGAAGGACAGAGGATGAGAGGAACTGAGAGAATTATCAGGGCAGGATGGATGTGGGCAAATCATGGCCAGTCCTGCCCGTGTAGACACTTTGATCAACTCCCCCACATCTCCTCTCCCATCCAGCAGAGCCTCTGCCCTGAAGCCAAGGAGTCGAGGGCATGAACTGCCTTCTCTGCACACACAGTCCTGCACAGGAGAGGCATGTGTCTCTTGCCACGGGCTCATTTCATGATGCCCAATAAAGAGGCTGAGAGCGAATGCCTTGCCATGTTGCTGCCTGCAAGGCAGCATGACTAGCTGGGGAAAATGAAGGCTTTCCTGAGGGTCTATCTGTCTCTAGCACTCCTTGTTCCTCCTCTTCTCCAAGCTGATCCTGTTCTGTGCTTGAGTTCTTTGGGGTTGGAGACTTTCATCTGCAGTTCAGACAGCTGCCCTGCGAGCTGTGCCACAGAGGGGTCTGTGTGGGAGTGAGCTTGCTCCAGTCCCCTTCTAAGATATGGGGCTCCACCATTCATGGAGTAGGAATTGATCTGGCTCTCCCTCAAGGAGACACCATCTTGAGGACATTTTTCTGTTTCCCTGTCACGCTCTGCCAGGCTGTGAGATGCCCTCCACAAAGGCTCTGCTGTTTCATAGCATCTTCTATATCTGAGGGACTGTGAAGAAGGTACAGAAATGCAAAGAGTGTGGAAGTGGTGGTGAAAGGCTATACATGGGCAGCTGAAAAGACCCTGTGTGTCCTTGGCTAGGAGGGCAATGTGCCCGCCTCCCTTGGGGCTCTGAGAAAGGGAGGGAAGCTTGAAGATCTGCACCTGCAAACTAGATTCCTCTGCACTCAGTAGAGGCTGGGTTCTTTCTCAGGTGTGTGATAAGTATGATCATGCTCCAGTGGAAAGACCTGGAAGCACCAGACAGCTGGGACAAAGCTAATAGACAGATTAGCTGTCCTCACTGTGCAGCAAGCGTCAGTAAATACTTTCCTCTCAGCAAAAACATTTATATCCACAAGAAAAAAGGAAAAAAAGAAAGTTATATAATGTTTTTGTGTGTGTATATATGAATATGTTTATATATACACAGGCACACATATATAAAATATGTATATACATATATATAAATTCCTAAAATTCTGCTAGTCTGTTCCTCAAAACCGCATTGAACTGGAAATGAAGATGCTGAAAAGGCCTTCCGAATGAGCAGTGCATTTCACCTGACAGAAATTCTGTATGTCAGAGCTAGTCCATTCCCTCCTTCCCACCACTGAACATCAGGACTAAGTGCTCTGCAGCCCATGAGTAGAGCTCCTGGCTCTTTACAGCCCACTCAGCCGCTGAAGAGCAGAGCTCAAGCAAGGGAGCATCTATGAATGGAGGCACCATTGTGTGTTCAAATGGTGCCACTGACCTTCCCCTTCAAACCTATGTGGGCAGAGATAAGTCTGTTAAAAGAGTGTTACACTGGGACAAAAAAAGGACAGGGATGGACAGTATTGGCCTTTAAGTGGTCTTTAAGAACACTGTGACTCCCTATTGACTGCAAGCTCCATTTCTGATGGTTCCTTGCCTCTTAAACATCACAGAATCACAGAACAATTTAGTTTGGAAGGGACCTCTACATCTAGCACAGCACCTCTTCTAAGCAGGGACACCTGGATCATGTGGCACAAGGTCACATCCAGTCAGGCTTTGAGTATCTTGAAAGAAGAAGACTCCACAATCTCTCTAGGCAGTCTGTTCCAGAATTCTGTCACCCTCACAGGAAAGTTGTTCTTCCTCATATGGAGATGAAACTTCCTGTCTTTCAATCTGTACCCATTACTCCTTGTTCTGTCACTGGCCCCCACCAAGAAGGTGATGCTGACTGAGACAGACTAAAATAATCACGTAGATCTCTGCATTAAAGCAGCTAATACAATTCTGTGCAGACACTTAATTTAGTGACAGAAAAAAAAGCCCAGCAGCATCGTGTCACATCCTTGATATTCCAGCATGTTTTAGCAGATAGAGCATGGGACCCACAGGAGAACCATGCCCTTTTGGAGTGGTTGCTGGGCAATGGCCTGTGAGAGCCCAGTAATCTCTGAGCAGGTTCTTCCTGATATTCCATACATACAGAGAGTGCAAGGTTTCATAGAACAAGTTTATTTTGAAGATAGTTTATGTTGCAAGGGATTTTAATTTAGCAGCGTGATTCCATGTGTACAGAAATCATAAATGCACTTACACAGTTCAGTTGCAATAACAGTGTGAATGCTCTTATCAGTATGCACAGTATGGTTGTGTTCTTGATGCTGGCATCCCTAGTTGCCAGAAAGGAATACAGGGGATGAAGTCAGTACAAGCCTGTTGCTCTCTTCAAAATTCCCTTTTTAATTTTTACAGGTTTTATATCCTGTGTTGGGTTCAGCCACAAATACACTTCCCTCATGCTGGTGTGGCTAATCTAAGGGAGAAATTCACATTCATTTTATCGGCTCAGGAAGAGCTGATATAATGTTTACACCAGTTAATCCACTCAACAGTTATAGCTGCTTCTCTGACGTAAAGGTCATCCTCTGGTTCTCCCATCCGTTTGTTGGGATAAAGACAGTGACCTGCACAACAGCAGTCATTAGTGAGTTACATCCTAGATGATTCCTGGGCGTCCTGGGCACCTCATCCTTTGCCCATGTCCTCTGCATCTTATATGGTAAGGGTTAACTGGTCGGTCACAAAGCAGCAAGAACCAAAATCTTTTCACAAGAATGCATCAAAGAATGACACAAAAAATGAAATGAAGAACACATTGATTAGATATCAAATACCTTGGGAATGGAGATTAGACGCACATGAGGTAGTTACTTGTGCTGACAGTATACCCATTGGGTCAGTCTCCTTCCGGCATCTTTGAGCTCCTTGTTCCTCAAGCTGTAAATGAGGGGGTTCACTGCTGGAGGCACCACTGAGTAAAAAACAGCCAGCACCAGATCCAGATTTGGCTGAGAAATGGAGAGGGGCTTCAGCTGTGCAAACGTGATAGTACTCACAAACAAAGAGACCACAGCCAGGTGAGGGAGGCACGTGGAAAAGGCTTTGTGCCGTCCCTGCTCAGAGGGGATCCTCAGCACAGCTCTGAAGATCTGGACATAAGACACCACAATGAAAATGAAGCACCCAAAGACTAACCAGGCACTAACCACTATAGCTCCTGATTTCCTGAGGTAGGATCCTGCACAGGAGAGCTTGAGGATCTGTGCAATTTCACAGAAGAACTGCCCCAGGACATTGCTTTGACAGAGTGGTAGAGAAAATGTATTAGCAGTGTGCAGGACAGCACAGAGAAACCCACTGCCCCAGGCAGCTGCTGCCATTTTGACACAAGCTCTGCTGCCCAGGAGGGTCCCATAGTGCAGAGGTCTGCAGATGGCAACAAAGCGGTCGTAGGCCATGACAGTGAGAAGAAAGTACTCAGACAAAATGAAAAAGACAAGCAGAAAGACTTGGGTAGCACATCCTGAGTAGGAAATGGCCCTGCTGTCCCACAGGGAATTCGACATGGTTTTGGGGACAGAGGTGGAGATAGTGCCAAGATCGAGGAGGGAGAGGTTGAGAAGGAAGAAGTACATGGGGGTGTGAAGGTGGTGGTCACAGACTACTGTTGTGATGATAAAGCCATTCCCTAGGAGGGCAGGAACGTAGATGCTTAGGAACAGTGAGAAGTGCAAGAGCTGCAGCTCCCGCGTTTCTGAGAACGCCAGGAGGACGAACTCATTGACGGAGCTTCTGTTGGACATTTGCTCCCTTTGGGCATGGGGACTGTCCAAGGAGAGAAAGACATTGACAAGTTAGGACAGACTTCTCTGAGCAGTGCTTTCTTATTCTTACAAATCTGCCCTCCTCACAAAAGCAGATATTATCCCTCCCCATCTTTGCTTTCTGCACAGCGTGAAATGTCAAAGCCCCTTCAGAGTCAAATGGTCAAATGTCCTGCATGTGGGGTGTCCTGCAGGGAGAGGTGGCTCATTCCCAGACAGGTCTGCTCATTCATTGCCTAGAACCCCAGGTCAGAGGGGGACTTGGGCACCTGATTGTCAAGGACAGGTCTGCATGGCAGGTGAACTGCATCTGAATCCCCCTCACCAGAGACTCCAAGGGAAAGGACAAGAGCAACACATACAGGTGGGGAGATATGGAGCAATGGCATGATATTACTGCCAAGGGAGACAGTGATACAGAGAGACATGAAGGCACTCCAGTGTTTCTCCTCTTCTGGGTGTGTGATTACCAAAGAATTAATTCATGACCTAGGCTCCACAGGCCTGAGGGCTGTGCTGAGTGGCAGAGGAGAAGAGGTGTTGAAGTTTGTGGCTTCCATCCACACTTTAATTCTGCTGCCTGGAGCTGTCCCTGCAGGAACCAGTGTCTCTGTTTCCACATCTCTCCCTTTTCCGTGCTCACAGACGATATCCCACCTACTGGGGCCTCAAAACTGCTCTGAATCACAGCTCTAGACAGACCTGTGTAAATCCACTGGATTAATCCCCCTGCGGTGTCCCTTGCTGAATGTAGCAGGACACCCTGTCCTTCTGACCATGTGGCAGTGAATTCCAAATGGAAACATCTGCTCCTCCTCCATACTGCAGCAGTTGGGAGGGTGATCCCAGTCACAGTAATGAAATAGGATGAGTTTAGAAGACTCCTCCAGGTACCTCAGTAGTATTAATCTACGAGACATTTCCCATGCAAAAGGCTGTGAAGATTTCTCCCACAAGGAGCGCTCCTCCGCCCTCCTCCTCCAGACTGCCTTTCACATATCTCTGCCTTCTCTCACCTTATGGCAGCAAGAGCAGGCAGTGCCTGGAGCCCTGTTACTCTTTGCCAAGGAGCTCTTCCAGGGCAGAGTGTTGAAGACGGTGAGGAATGATGCCATTCTCCCATGAGAGAGAAGCAGTAAAATATTTTACTGAGCTAAGATATAGTGATTTAACATAGTTCAATGATAAATAAGCCAATGATTTAAAAATGAACTATGGCGAGGTATACTCACTTGTGTACTGCATGAAGAACAGGCCCAGATGAAAGTATCAAGGAGACTCTCCTGTTGAGTCATGAATATCAGAATGGACCGCCTTGTTTTCCAAACTCCTTGTCAGAGCAGCCTGGGAGTGGCTGGATCCACCCCTACGATTATTTCAGAGCTGTCGCTGTTGAGAGGAGGTTCTGCAGTACAGCCCGCTGCTGTGAAGGAGAGCTCAATGTGCTCTGGACTGCCCACGCTATTAATGGGGTTGGGGGAGGGGAAGGGAGAAAGATGATTGACTCCTAGTCATATTTGCATACTAGATGGGTTTTAGTTCGCGCATGCTCAATAAGCCCCAGACAGCTCTTAGCCTCCTTTCTAAAGCTCAGGGAATCGATTTTCTGTCCTGTTTTGTGCCCTTTTAGTAAGAAGGACAGGATGCAAAAGGATGTTTTTTAGGGACCCCAGAGGGATCCCTCTGTGCTGTTTTTCTCTGTCCTTTGTCCAGAGAAGGACATGTGGATACTTCATCCTGTTTGACAACTGCGTAGGACTGGAAATAAATTGGGACGTTGTCACTTCCCAGTCCTTTCGAGAACCTTTTATGATACCCCAGGCACTGCCTTGCATCATCTCTCTCACCTCCCATGCAATCAAAGTCCCTCCTCTTGCCCAAGGCCTCCTGCAGCCATCACATCCCCTTTTTACCAGGCAGTGCCAGTGCTTTTGGATCACAAAATAAAACTACAAATTCTCTCTCCCCCTTGCCCCTCTCCAAAGAACTATTCTATTAACATTGCAGTTGAAGGTGACAGCAAATTATAAAACCTCATGTCCATTCAGATGCTGGGAACGGCAAGCTAATGCAGCTTGGGATGGACCTTGGATCAGTTTATGGCACGCAGTACAGATCCCATCTGTGGTTAGGTTCCCCAGTATTGTAGACTTTGGAGTTTTTGAAGAATTTTATTAAGAATTACTGTGACGTATAAAGAAACAGGTTTATGTTCAAGCTCAGAAGCCAATTCCTAGGGTCAAAACCAGAAATCAGGTCTGGTGAGAGTAACCAGGCTCAGAATGAGCCCTGTGATCTCCAGGCAGGTCTAACCGACAGCCTGCCCACTTGGATCAAAGGATCCTGACTGCATCCTCCTACACTGCTCCTTACTCTTTTCCTCCTTGAATCCCTTTCCTAAGCACAGAGGCCCAGAGACCTTTTGCTGAAGCCCAAGGTAAAGGTGATACAAAGGAGCTCAGCTTCACCTGCTTTGCTGCCATTAGCACAACCACCCCATTCAGCAAGGTACCTGTATTTTCCAGTTCAGTCTACTCATTTAGCAGAAGAAGCTCTTGTTTTCCCTGACTTCTTCTACAAGTCTCAGCTCCAGCTGAGCTGTGGCCTTGACCCCATCACTGCATACCCAGGACTTTTTTCTGTATTCCTCAACTGCAGCCTGTTCCTGCTTCCAGCTACTCTTCATACTTTTTTTTTTTTTGCTCTCCACTTCCACACCAGGAGGCCCTGACACAGCCAAGCCAGCTTCAGAGAGGCACAAGTAACCTCAAAAGCCCAAACAGCAGTTCTGTAACCAGTTCTGGGTTATTAGGCACTGGCCACTGGTGACCTCACAAGCCCAAACAGCAGCAACATAACCAGGACTAGCCTGTCAGCAAATACGAGGCAACAACCAGAATGGGGCTATCATTCCCTAGGTCACAAGAGACTTCACAACCAAAGCAGCAGGCATGGCTCAGGCACTGGCCCCTCAGGGCCTCTGGCAGAAGTGATCTCTCAAGGACCTTTACCTATCCCTGGAATATAATGCACTGAGGCACCTTGACCTCCTAACCACAGACAGCAACCATGGGGCTTGGGCTGTCCTGGAAGACATGGATTTACGAGTGACCTCAGCAACAGAAACGGCAGCAATGCTCCTACCACTGGTCTGTCAGTATCTCCAGTAGAGGGATACCAAGATGGTCAGGGGCTGGAGTGTGGGGCAGAGAGAGGCTGGGGAAAGTGGGTTTTTTTTCTCATGGGGATCTTCATGCTGTGCACAGTTACAGCACAATGAAGACAGATTTTCTTGTAGATGCACGCTAAGAGCATGAGCGGCTACACGGTCATATTGGACAATGAGAAACTCTTCCTAGATATTAAGAACAAATATTTTTCTCCACAAGGGTGGCAGTCAAACTGTGGCACTCCAGAGAGATTCTCAGATCTCTATCCTAGGAGATAACCAAAACTTCACTGGAGAATGGCATTGGACCCCTACCTCCAGATGCCTCCCCCTTGCAGGCTCAAGGCATCTGCTATTCTGAGACTCTTTGCAAAGGTATCTGGGGCTCTGGAGATGCCACCTCCACTGATGACCAAGGAGAGCAGTCTCAGAGCTACTCACCACCCTGAAAGGCTTGACTTCTTCTGAGATGGCATCTCCCCCGAAAGGCTCTGGGAAGGCACAAAGTGGAGAAACGGCTCTGACTGCTTTTATGAATGAGCCATTCCTCTTAGGGATCAGAATAGATTAGGGTCTTAGATGGGAAGATGCATTGAGGTCCATATTCAGCAGAAAGCTTTTAAGGAGGGAGAAGGAAACTTTCCCCTGGGGAGTTAATAAAATCCCAAAGACTCACAGAGGCATCAAGACCTTCAGAAACTGCAAGCATGAACCTCAGCTGACAGAAAGCACCAAACTGTGAGCATCTGTGGCTTCTATCGAGGAGGGAACATGGCTGTCAACAGCCCTCACCCAGGTCTTCCAGAACAATACTAGCATAGCAATCTGGGCTCTGAGAGCAGAGCAAGGCTCTCTCCAGCCACCTCCTCCTATGCTGAGCAGCCAAATCCTGGGGCCACCACCTGGCAAGAAGGTCCAACTCTCCATCTCTTCCATTCCCTTCTAGTCCTCCAAGTCCTTGCAACAGACATTTCATCAGAATGCCTACTCACAGCCCTGTGCTTTGCCATTCCTCACCTACAGGAAGCAGAGAAGTACTCTCATGGGGGCTGGCAGGCCAGATCTTGCCTCTCACTTTTACCTCTCATGCCCTCAAGGCATTCACCGAAGGTGCCTCCCCACTTGTAGCCCTTTTGAGCTTTCAAGAGGTGCTGAGCCTCACCATCAATCCTCCCATCCTCAATCTTTCTCTTCCCTAGAGCTGTGAGGCACAAGAAACATCTTCTTATGAAATGACAAAAGGCACTCACATTTGAACAAAAAGAAGGCCAGAACCACAGGCTCTCTTACCACACTGGCATGACAACTCATCTTTGCAGCACACAAGGTACCCACAAGGGAGTCAGGGGTAAAATGCATCAAGAACAGAGAGGCCATAATGCATGCCAAAAAGTTGGGAAGAGAGTTGTTGGGTGTGTGTGCTTGCCATCACTTCTTTGACTGCAGCTACTCTAAGCAATGCACCTAGAGCTAAGTGGGTCTCCTCATATCCACCACAAAGTGCAGGTGAAAAATGGGTCAACAGGGTCAACACGTAGCATGCTGATGTCTATGCATTGGGTGCTCCCTCATTTTCCCACTGCAGTACAGAAAGGCCACACTACACCTGGATGGTGAAGGGCCTTGTAGAGTCTGCATCTAAAAGGAAGAGAGACCTGGATGCTGTCATCTTTGCAGGGCAATCTTGCCTTGGTTCTGCTATTCACAGGGGCTCCTCCAAATACATCTGACCCAGGAAGGACTCAGACACTTGAGAGTCAGCTCCCAAGAACGTACTTGCCCGTCTCCAAAAACTAATCTCACCAGAAGG